GGGCCAGTGTAGGGTGTGGGATGGAGAAGGGATGAGTATCATGTTCAGCCCCCATCCTTTCCTCTCACACAGGGCCACTGTGGCTCTTTCACTGGATTAATTACTGCTCCATGTGGACATCTACCAGTCACAGGTAGGATTTGGTCTCTTGAGAATAGTCACAAAACAATTTAGGTTTCCCCTCTATTGGTTTCCACCATCTCCCTTATTAAAGATTCTTCTGTTACCTTTCTATGCCTGATTAATGTGTCAGGTGATTAATGACTTTCATCTGACACATCAGTGGGATTAAACCATGGTGAAATACATCCTTCCCCTCCTATTATTGCATTCCACTGCTTTCCACAAAGGAAGTACAAGAGAGGTTATCTCATGAGAAGCTCTGCCTGTATTTCTGGCTGTTTCCAATTACCTTGATGTTGGATACATGTCTGTGGTGAGCTAGACTTGCAAAAGTTGTTTAGGAGAAGATGCTGAAAGTGCATCTAAAACACTCTGGGAATAACATGGGCAACTTGATAGGAATTTATTCTTAGTCTTGTGGATCAATGGTTGCCAGTTACATCAAGTATTCCTGCAGTGCTTTTCTTTGAAAAGTTGGCTACGTTTCTTAGGAATGCCTAGCTTTTATCAGATGAGAATTTGCATTGAATTTAAGTACAGAAAAAGATGATGAATGTGCCTTAATTACTTTCAGCAGCTATGCCAACTCTACAACTGTGACTGCAGCACGTATGCCCAGGTGTGCTTTAACCTGCAACTGTGAGACCTTAAATTGGCAGAATGCTGTGCAGGAAGATGCAATTTCCCTGATGCCAGTTCTGAGTGCTTCTCCTTCTGGCTGAAACTGATTCTCCTTTTTCTCTTCCCCACTGCCCCCTCCCTCTCTCTCTGGTAAATGGATTAATTTCCATCCCCGGCAGCTCCCTGGTTCTGCTCTTGGCCCATGCAGAGGAACAGAGTACAACTTGCACAGGCAGCTGGTGGAGATGAGAGGCCAGACCACCTCCCCTTTCAGCAGAGAGATGGACTCACACAGGAATTAAGCAACCCTGTGGACCACCTGATGTGTGTAGTTAATTATAAAGATGTAGTGATAATTTCAGGTACAGGTCTGCAGAGGACTGTCCCTGCTGGGTTTGAACATTCCTGCCCAAGCCTGTGCCATCAAAGCTTTCCCTCTGCTGGCACTTATGCTAAATTCCTTCATGTGCCAAACAACAGGAGGACTGATTATTTGCCATGCCAAGCATGGACTTTTGGTTAAGGTGAGGATGGTTGTAATAAGATGTAGTACAAATGATGTGGCTGTGTAACGTGGTTTCTTTGAGGAGCGAGTGGCAAGGAACTCATAGTGAGTACTGTGCTCATCAAAAAGTTATCAGCCTGGATTTGCTGAAACAATTATGGGCAATTTCTATTGCAGTGAGGGTTATTTAAAATTTAAATAGAGTTGACATCATGTTCTTTTGACCTAATTCCCAGACTTTTTTATCATTACTAAAATGGTGTGGGATATTACAATGTCATATGCTGCAGAATGGCTCTCTAAGGAAAGGTTGATACAGCACTGGTGTTTGAATAGGAAATGGACTGTGGAAAATTCTGAGGTAACATTGTGATCTTCAAACGTGAAGGGTTGGACTTGTGGGTAAAAAGCCACAGTTCAGAAATAACCCTGCTGAAAAGTAGTCCTATGAAAAAACAGGATATCTCTTACTATTTGTTGTTTTATCAGTATAGGGGGTCATGTTTCTTTTCCTTTCAGTAATACTACTAGTTTGTGTCCCACTAGATGCCCACTTTACATTAACATGAGTTCACTTTATTTTGGCAGGAGAAAGTCACCCAAGCCCTTGTGGAGTATTTCAGACTTTCAGCACCAAATTCAATTTACTGCATTCTTCCATGCTTCTGTGACAACCCCATGTCAGATGATTCATGTACAGACCCTGTTTCCCATAACTTTGTCCTTGGGATGACACCAGTGGCATTCTTCTCATGATCTTTAAAAAACACGTGAGAAAAACAGTTGGGATGATTTTAAAGAGCAAATTGTCATTTGGAAAGCACCCTGCCTTAGTACTAGTTCCACTTATCTAGAAATGTTATTATGAGCAATTGAAAAAACATTCAAAACAAAATAATGTGATTAAGTAAGGGTTGTGGGTTTTAAGAGCCAGTCTTCACTTCCTGCTTTCACCCAAGGACCATCCAGATACACCAGTGTGGCTTAAGTGTGCTCTCACCTTGGGAGTACAAGCATTGTCCATGTTTTGCATAAACTTGTATAAATAGTCCATCTGCTTGTAATTTGGACAAAGTTACCAGAAAGATTGTAGTGTGTTTTCTCTTACTGTATTTGGGTATGATTCCCAAAGTCCCAATGCCTTGCATTGGAAAATGAAGCTCCAGGGTTGATGTAAGTCTCATATATATGTCACTGTTAATACCCACACCAGCTTTATCTGCAGTACTCAAATCCAGTTGGAAAGCAAAGGTGTTATCTCCAGTGCAGAATGAGCTTGTGTTTCTCCTGGGATAAGTTCTCCCACATAATACCAACCTCCCCAAAAACCTCTAACCTTGGCTGTAGTAATCCAACAAGAGGCAACCAAGATTTCATTGCAGCCCAAGCTGGCAGTTCATGGGCCTTGCTCTTAAAAGGCAGGCCAGCCAAGTGATAATATTTCACTGCCATGCCCCAGTTACCCCTGAGCAGTACCCTGTGGTCTGTTTATTTTTTTCTACTTCAGGAGACCTTAACTGGCACGTTAATCCTGCATTTGTCTGCTGTGTTTTGCTTTGGTGCAGAGTTTGAACAGCAGTGCCATGAGAGTGCTTGCCCACAGGTTTGCTGGAAGCAGATGTCAACCTTCTAGTACAGTTGTGGTGGCTGTAAAACCTGTAATTTGGGGGGAATATAGCTAAAGAAACTGTTCAGGGTTTAGTGGACAGAAGAGAAAAGGAAACACCAAGCAGACAAGAAGAAATGAGTTCCTTCTGCTGAAAGATTCTGCTGCCAAATATTTTGGTATGATCTGTGTTAGCAATAAGTAACTCCATTTGGAAATTATTTTCCACACAGAATTGTTGTATTACTATTTCAACCAGCAGCTCTGTGCTGGGGCACACAAATCCCGCACACATTCATGGATCAACCAAGTGAAAACATGGTATTTCCCCCAGGAAATCTATCCCAGCATGCAGACCAGTAAAGCACTACTGAGGAAGCAGCTGCAGATGAAGGGCTTTGTACAGCCAACCCTCCCCCTGTGCTGGAACAGCTCAAGCTGTAATTTTTCAGTAAAGACACATCCTTATTGCATAGGCATCCTATAATTTCTTCTGAAATGTCACATTTCTCTCAGTTAGGGCTGTTTTGAAGATCTGCTACTGTCCTTACATACCTAAATGTTTCCTGGATTTTTCTGATGGTTTGGCTCGTTTAACTTCTTCAACAGCTCGTGGCTGCTTCTGGCCAGTTATTTTCCATTAGATTAAAGTCCCTCCCAGCATGTAGAATACAGAGATAACTTTACAGCTGTGTTTCATTCTCTTTCACATTTCAGCATTTCACCAGGGACAGATCTAGTGAAACCTTTGTCGTGGGATCTGAAAATTTTATTGCTTCAGATTTTTTTTAGTTCCCATTTCATTACAAAGCTGGTTTGCTCAGGGTGCAGACAGAAGTGATGCTGCCTTGTTGTCTGGTTGGGGTTATTATGTGTGTGATTGTTTTGAGGCTTTTCCCCTTCTAATTAATTTAAACAAATTGGATTAAGGATAGAGGTTTCAGGACTGTAGTACTGTTACAGCTGGATTAAATATTGTCTTAGGAGACAAATTTGCGTTGAATAAAAAGCAGACTTAAATTATATCAAGGCATCCATGCTGGGAGAGAGGAGGGTGGTGGAATGCTGCCTGCCAGTATTTTTATTGTCATCATCATTCACCCTTTTTCAATTTTAGGGTTGCCATTTCCACAAGGAAAAGTTTGTGCTTTTTTTTTTTTTACTAATTTGCTTTTACTCCTGAGGACAAATGAAGGTATTTTATTCAGACATCAAATTAATCACTTCTGTGAAGAAGACGGTTGATCAAAGTGTGCTTATATTTCTTTTAATTTTACTTCTTTACCATCTGTGAAGCACTGTAGTTGTGTGCTACCTGTCTGATTTATCAGTGTCTTGTAGGAAATCAGCCTTTCTTCTGCCTGAGGGATTTGGGAATTTCAATTAGGTAGTGAGCCTGAGGGAAAAGGGTTTGCCTGCACTTGGCTTTGCAGAACTTGACAATGGTTTGATTTTGGCTTTGCTAATATGGAAATCTTTGCCAGTGCTCTCAGTGTCTAAAAATTTTCCTATTTCCACATGGTTATTTCCTGTCTTGGGTGAGGTAGGCTACTTTATTTCTTCTGGTTTATACTTTCTAGTTGCCAAGACAGTTAAAAAAAAAAAAGTAAAAAAACTTGGTAGGCAAAAGGAGATGCACCCTTCATGCTTGTCTTGCTGGTTTTGATATGGCATTCCTGAATACCTGGTGGAATCCTGGTTCTGTGGAGATCCAGCTACATGTGCAGCTGGATCTGTGGTAGTCCTTGGTTCCCATTCCTTGCCTGCTTAACAAACTGCTGTACACACTACTTACATCTACAGCATGGGTATATGTGGTATCTCTGCTAGCCTGGGTTTCTGTGGCTAGAATGGAGCAACTGTGACACAGCAGGGAATTTGGCATCCTTTGAATGCCATGTTGTGGTGTTGGCACAATGTGTGAATGATTTCCCCCTTTTGTTTTGCTGTTAATGATGAGCTCTTGGGCTGGGGCCTGGCTGCAGCCTCAGCTTTGCGTGCACGATTATCTGTGCGTGCTGCAGATGGAAATTGAACATCTAATTACTTTATAAGATTTGTGAACAGAGATTTAGAGCCTGCTTAGCCTCTGCTTGAAAAGTGCTTTCTGTGTGATTTCAAGTCTGCTTTTGCTCTCCTCCTCAGGTCCTTTCACAGATGTGGTCACTACAAATCTGAAGCTCGGCAACCCCACGGACAAAAATGTGTGCTTCAAAGTTAAGACCACAGCACCACGTAGATACTGTGTAAGGCCCAACAGTGGAATTATCGATGCAGGAACATCAATTAATGTTTCTGGTAAGCCATTCAAGTGGTTATTTGCTGATTGTAAATAGCTTCTTATAATCAGTTATTTCTTGGAATGCCTTGCAGCCTGGAAGTATTTTGGTGAATCCAAGAGGTTGCTCTCATAGAGAAGCAGCCATTTCATGTATCCTTACTTCCCTTTCTCTTGGTCTAGCAGTTGTAGGTTTGGTCTTACATCTTGTTTTGGAGAGGAAAACGGCGGAAATATATAAATGATTGATATGGTTCATTAACAGCCTCAGCCAGCGTATCCAAACCCCTACTGCAGCAGCCCTGCCCTCCCTGTGGGATTATTTTTGTACAGTTAGTTTTTTGCCAGCTTAACTTCCTGAACCAGCTCACCATGGGGTCAAACAAGTGCTTGGATGAGCACATTGAGGGAAGAATAAAACTGGGTGGACTGTAGCCACTGGTTTAGACCGGTGTGGTCTGATGCCAAACCGCCTTTGATTTAACCAACAATGAAAACATTTACTTTCAAACCATGCTTGCTTTGTGTGCCTTAAAGATTCAGTATCCTTTGGTGTTAAAAATGTCAAATGACTAAATCTTTGCTGTTGCATAGGAAAAGTTAATGATTTTCTGTAATGAGTCAGTAGCTCTTGACTTGCCTAGGTTTGGTAATGGAAAAGCAAAGGAGTGGCTTACTTTGAAAGCATAAAGAGCTGAGCAGTCTCATAAACAATATCTGTATATTATTAATTTGCTGATAGTGTATTCTCTCAATAACTTTTCTGATCCATGTTCTTAATAAAGAATTCTATCAAAGGATGTAGTTGTGGCATATTGGATGAATGAGGTCAGATTTTAGTTAAGAAAATTACTCCTCTAAACATGCAGGTTCAGATTTGCTTTGCTATTCCTAAAAAAATTATTATTGACACGATAAGAAATATTATTGATAGGTTATACAGTTTGCTTCTGCCAACCTCTTTTATCCTGGGATAAAATTTTGGGAAGTTAAAACCACTGCTTTTTACTTGAAAAAATTAACATGTGAAAATTAAGAGTTCAGTTTCTTACTTAATAAAATGTAAAATATTTAAACACCTCACCCTTGGAGAGAGCTAGCTTCAACAAAATAAAAATTGATCCCAAAACCACTTTGCACTGGAAAATTAAGCAACTCTAATCCTCTGACTCTTCTTGTACATGCCCATATTTGCACACTCATTGATCTGTTGTCTTTGGGATTTCTGTGGTGTCAAATTGAGTGTGCAAAGGGCTGCAGGATTGTGCCTCCCTTGCAGTTAATCCCAGGGGAATGTCAGTGAGGAGGTAACCAGGGAGTGGTGAGAGCTCCAGGTGGGGCAGGCAAAGCACTTCTGCTTCAGGAGAGGGCCAGCACGTACCCAGTGAGCTCTGAAATGACTAATATGTAAATGAAAAAGCTCTCTGGAGAGAAATGGAGATTTTAAAAGTCGGAACAATTCCCAAGTAAAGCTGTCTGTCATCTATACTAGCTGCAGGCAAGCATATCAAATGCACTGAAATCAATGAAATGATAATGAAAATTAGCATGGTTTCTAGCTACAAATTATCTTTGTGCTATAAAGATGTGGATGCTTTTCATCTTGCAGATGAACTTTGAAAATTAAAAGCCTACTTCTTTTGCAGGCTCTTACCAGGCTTTTTGAAATGTCTTGATCTCAGTGTTGAGTTTTGCCCCTTAGCTCCACCTTGAGCAAACAGAGTGCAGGCAAGTGTTGTAGGAACCATCTCTTGTTATGCTACCAGCACCTTGCTTTTCCAGCCTGACCCTTCCCAGTGGCACACCAGGCAGAGTGTGGATGTGGTCCAGGGCTAAACTATCCCCTTATGAGACTGCTGTGCTAACCCTGAGTTGTGTTTTGCTCTTGCTTACACAGCTTTAAGAATTTCCCTTTTCTGATAACTTTATTCGTAGTGATTTATGATTTGGAAAATTTTTGGAAAATGGCTGTGATATATTTCATCACAAGCTCACATGTGTGTTCTAATATTTCCATGCTGATATAAACAGTAATAAATAGCAATCTTAAATTGCCAATCCTTACATTAACATTATTTTTAAAAATGTAAGCAGCACACTTCTATTGTTCCTTAAGTAATATATTAAGCTCCTTCAATCCATGCATGGGATCTAATCTTGGACTTGAGGATGGCAGTGGCTGTGGTTTTGATCAGCAAATGGGATACTTTGGATGGGAGGGATCAAAAGAGGGGACTGTTACTAACTTGCAAAATAGAACTGTTTTCAGATTGACAGAAAGGGGGGAAGATGTGTTTAACCTTTGCTTTGGAGTTAGATTGCTTCAGAGCAAAAGACTGATTTTGGAGTTAATGAAGTGAAAAATAAATAGAATTTGTTTCTTTGCCTCTAAATCAGTTACCTTTTCAGTCATTTAATTCAAGTCATGCACAGGTCATAAAAATAGGATTTGAATAAATAGGACTTGAATTCCTCCAAATCTAGTGAAAATACTACTGATGAGACATTATTTAAAATATAGTTAATACAGTAACTTCTGGACACAAGCTAATTGGGTTGTGTTTACTATATGCAATCTGTTCCCTTCACAATTGCTGACTGGCTTTACCACAGCCCCTGATAGCACTGCATTGGTGCTGCACTTTGTCTCCAAAAAATCAGTGCTTCAGCATTAGTTAGTCTCAGAGAATATTAGTGCCTGGAGCTGAATTTGCTCTTCTTGCTCTGTAGTAACCAGATACCTTTGTTATACTCCTGTGAAACTGTGTCTTTACTATTTTGCTGTGAGTATATGAGAAGATATTTTGCTCTAAGAGGCAGCAGTTGCAATTTATTTCACACTAATATGATGGCTCATTTAAAAGCCTACAAAATGCTAGAAAAATAAATCTCACTTTAATCTAGTGGAGTCTCAAATGCTGCCTTCTTATGCCATATCACAGCTTTTGCTAAGTACCAGCATTTGAGGCCCTGTCAGCATGTGCTGCCTGCTGGGATGTCAGGTTTGGAGCCCGTGTTTTCACCTGTTATATAATGGCATGTAATTTTAACAGCTGAGTTTATGTAACTGTCGGGAAGTGTGTGTGCACTGTCATCTGATTCCATTGCACTGGGGCTGCAATACTTGGGAAGGAGTATTTGCACACATTCCACTGCTGCTAAGCACCTCTGATCTCAGCAAAGATAGCTGATTTTGTGGCTTTGAAACCTAAATAAAAGCCATGAATGGATTACAAAGGAAAAGTGAAGGAGCACCAGCAGATGCTAGTGAGTCTGCAGTGGATGTATAAGGAGGAGAGGAATTGCAGGTGGTACCATCTGTGCACAGTGTCCCACTGAACAGAGCAGTCTGAACGCGCCTCCCAGAAGGGAGGAGGAGCTGACGTTAGCCTTGGGTTGCTGTCCAGTATCTGGGGGGATTTTTAGTCTTTTCTGAACTTTCCTGACTTTGAAAATGCAGGAATGGAGCTGCAGCCCTGTGCTCAGCAGTCACAGCAGGTCTGCCCCATTCCTCTGGCACTGATTGTGTCCCATCCACTGCTGCGTTCCCAGACTTTCCTTGGCAGTGTCACTCCTGTGCCCTGTTCCCACAGATGTGCCAAGCAGAAACTACCAAGTTTTGGGTTGTTCTTGCCTGCCCGCTTTAAAAATCTATCTTGATCTTCACAAATTCAACACTTCTTAGTATTATTGAAATATTTACATAAATTTTATGTTTATTTATGTAAACATGAAACAAAGGTGGGATGGTGGAATGGATTCTGCTCATTTCTGTAGATGCAAGTGTCCTTTGCTTACCTGTGCCAGAGCTGATGGAATTCCACAAGGATCTTGAGGCTTGCCCCTATTTCTGGAATTTCATGAAGAATTCCATGCAGTGCCACTTGGGAAAATGATTGATAAAGGTAGAAAAGAAAAAATAAATTGGCAGTCTGTTGAATGAGTTGCTTAAGAATGAATAGTGATGTGGATGGAAATGTGATAGCAGGGAGCTACTACTGATGTTTCTTGAGAGTGATTCTTGGTTCTAATCTTGTTTAATGCTTTTACAAGCAATTCTGGAACAAAGAGTCCACTAAAAACTGATGATGTTGTAAAATTGAGAGATTGAAGATATACAGCAGAATTAGGTGTCTTTGAAGGCTACAGTAAGAGAAATGGGATGAGTTTCATTAGAAAAACTGAAAATGACATATTTGGAGAATAAAATAGTCTGGCTGCAATTGCAAGCTTGTTGAATGAAGGGGCCTGATTGGGGTGAGCAAGATAATAGCCATAATCATAATAAGCCATGATGTGGCTGTGAGTAAGGCAGATGTAGTGTCATACATGTGGATAAGGGAAGAGGTGAGAGGGCACAAATGCTGTGGTTCAAGGCACTAGTAAAGTTTCCTGCATGTGTAATTAGAGGAGCTCAAACCAAAACAGGTGCAGAGGATGAATGGGGAGCCTGGCCTTGAGAGAACCCACCAAGTCTGGCTTAAGTTTACCAGTAGGCCAGGAGTTACTGTGATTGATGGCTTGGAGGGCACCAGAAGTAAATGACTCTTCCCCTTCTCTGGTATTTCAGCATGAGGGTAGTGTTGGTCCAGGACCAAGTAAACAGGCCATTAATAAATTTAGATGGAAACTAGAGGAAGGTTGCTGACTATCTGAGCTGGGAGACTTTTCTGTTCCTTCTGCTCTTGGAAAGGACAGCTAGATCCTAGCAGGTGTTAAAGGTGTTACCTGCTTCAGATTTCCTCTGTTCTTTGAAAAAGCTGGTTTATTCTAGGAAAACCAGAGGAGTTAACTAATTTTAACTAACTTTGCCAGTAAACTTTTCTATGGAAAAGAAGAAGTGTATTGGGTGGTCAGTGCCTCTCCTTAGCTCTCTACTGAGTGTAAAATGCTGGGGATATTGCAGAAATATGTGTGAAAACCCATGTCCATTGATCTCAGTGACTGTGCAGATTTTGCTTGTGGTAAAACAGTGCTGGTGCTCAAGCTCTGGGGTGAGCAGCTTGGGAAGTGGTTGAGATATATCTCTGCCTGATGGATGCTGCTGACTGTAAACTTGAAGATCACATTAATAATTTTGTTTCTTCAAAATCTGATTACTGATGAAAGCTGAAGCTTCTGACCAGATGGGACAACTGATGTGATAAGGCATTCTGTAGGAACATGCTTCTCACATAATTTTTGCATAAGGTTTGTGATTTCCATTCAGAACAAAGGAGCCACATTCCCACTAGCAATTTCTCCAGCAATTAGGGCAGTTTTATGGAACTAATCTTCCACAGAAACCCCAATAGTATGTGGATAAATATTAAAATGGTTTGGTTTCCTCTTGAAAAAAGTACATATTTTTGAGCTGCCCATCTGGCTTACAAGACATTTGCTGAATAATTTGTGTCAATGTGGCTTTCATGTATTGATCTAAAACTACAAGTGCTAACAACGTCTGTGCTGTCAAGCCCTCTCTAGCTCATGTGGTTCAGTGAATGGAGCTGGGAGCAGTGATCACTTGGCATTCCAGGATGGATTCAGCACTGTCCCTTGGGAAATGAGGATTTTCAAATGAGCTGATAGTTGCTGATAGTTCCCTCAGCAAAGTGAACTGAAAAAACCCACAATCATAGAAGTTCCATAAATGCTGAGCAGTTCTGGCTATCCAGTTGGATATTAAGTGCTTTTCAGTGATGTGTCAGGCAGTGTTGAAATAGTTGTGTTTCACAGTGCAGTCACTCCTGCTTGCAAAATAGTTTTAAAGGTAGCCAGTTAATTTGCAAACATTTTAAAAAATAATATCCAACTACTGCAAGGTGAGTTAAAAATGTATAATAATTTTTAAAGGACCTCATCTGAGAGAATTTATTGCCTGCCTTCTCTCTGGGCTTTAAAAGGCATTTGGTTGTTGATGGCCACAGATTGTGTGCACAGTAAAGATGGCACAGCCATAACATATCCTGTTCATTAAGGGAGGCAAATTGGCCTGACTTGCTTTCATTTGCAACAAATGGGATCTTTGGGTATTGCTTTTATATGGCAAACCCCTGCAATTAGTGCATATGAATTTGGGCACATAATGTTAATAGCACCAGTACTTGAAAATGCTCATCATTCTTGAACTGCTTCTCTTCTTAGTGATTGAATTGAGGGGCTGAAGTAAGACAGGTCATAAAATATCAATTTTTAAACCTTGCACTATTTCTTTCTGTTAGCAGTAGTGGCAGTATTTGCAAGCTTCATTTTCAATTTAAGGGAGTGGTGGCTTTTTGCAGTGTCTAATAACATGTTTGTGTAAACTGTGTTGCTTATTTCCACATGTTCTGTCTCATGCTGAAGCCAAGCTTGTTTTTAATGCCCCAATAGCTGAATTTTCAGGTATCATTTGCAAGTATTGGGGTTCCAAGTGACACCGTGATCAAAGATTATTCCATGCAAATGGAATATCCACTGTCCTTCTTCAGGTTGCCTTAGCCCAAAAGCAAAGACATGGAAATTCCCACTATTGCTTTAAAAAAATTAAATTAAAGCACACACGCTCCCTAAACCTACTGTTCCTTCCTCTCTGCCCCCTAAACAGAGTCATTTTCTGCATAAGTAAATTTTGGAATGCTTTTTATTTTTCGAATGAAGAGAAATACATTCCTTGCATACCTTTCATAGGCAAAGTTTGCACCACATTTAACTATAAACTTCCAGCTATAAATTGGTAACAAATTTTCAGTAATTTATTTGTGAAAGCAAAATACTTGTACTTGATAAATCAAATGCCCTGAGACTCTTAAATTTTGCAGAGGAAATTTCCATCCCGAGACTTGAACCTCAAGGTTTACAATGTTTGACTTTGCCTCTGTAGATTTTCTCAGGCACCATCAGCAATATTATGTGTACAGCTCATCAAAATGCTTCTTACTTCTGCCCCAAGGATGGAGCAAGACAAAAAGATGCTGTCTTGGAAAAATTTTCCCTCTGTCCCAGAAGATATGTAAATGATCCTATTTCCTATAAATGACTATTGTTATCTTGCCATAGCTGTGTACTGAATTATGTAGAGTGATCAGCGTTTCCAGAATTCTCAGACCAAAGTCTAGACAGACTGAGGAAATCTGTTTCTCTTGCCTCCTTTCAAAATTCTGGTTTAAAGTGAGGTTCCTGATCTCAGCTGCTGCTTTGGTCTTAACAGCAGACAACTTGAAGCCATTTTAATGTTTGTTATTCTGGAATCTGGTAAGTGTGTCATCAGTGCATGACTCTGCACCAGAGCAATGTTAATGCAATGTGTTCTGGGTTTTTTTCTTCCAGTGATGCTACAGCCTTTTGACTATGACCCTAATGAGAAAAGTAAACACAAGTTTATGGTTCAGTCTATGTTTGCTCCAGCTGATACTTCAGATATGGAAGCAGTAGTAAGTATTGAAATTAATTAAAATGTATTTCTTTCTAATTGTAGAATTTTGTAAGTCCTTTGACTGCATTAAGGGGTGTTGTCAAACCACACTGGAATGGTGTGGTTTTCTAGATTTCCATCTCTGCATGGCAAAGAGTTTTCTGTTATTTTGAGCCCCAGGAATCTTGCACTGAGAGTTGTTGTCTGTGGTTGCTTCTTTAGGAAGCTGCTGTCAGTAATGGGATGCCAAGCCATGAAACAAGTAGTTGTAGTTTTTTGCAATATATCCTTCTTTAGAAGGGCCAGCTTGGACCATATATTCTAAGGATATACAGAATATATTCTATGTCTGTGGCATAACTTTTATGCATCTACTCTCAGTCTTGAGTCTTCTCTTGAGCAGCTCCTTTTGCAAGATGCAAGAAGATGATTTACATGTATTGTATTTTTCTTTATCCCTACCTATGTCTGCTGTGGCTTTGTAAATGAAAGGCCCTCACAGATTCTGTCCTGTGGATTACAAATGTGAGCAGTAGAAATATGCAGGTGCTGGAGCAGAGAAGGACAAAAGACATAAAAATAAGATGTCAGGCTACAGTAAGACAATCTGCAAAGGAGTAAACCATTATGTCAACTGCTGGATTTCCTTTATCAGCAAGATTTGCCCTCAGAAGAAGACACAAGGAAGCTCTCTGTAGCCTAGCTTTTGTTAGCTTGAGAGAACATTCAGTGGCTATTGAGGACACAGTATAAAAAGGAAAAAGACCATTACTCTAAAAGTGTGTGGCTTGTGTGTGCCACTTCAAAAAGCCAACCCAAAAATACTCTACAGTGGTCTTTACAATGTGTCTTCTTTTGAAAAGCTTCTTAAAGCTGGGGCACTCTGCAGGTTAATAATTTCCCTTCTGAAACTGATTTATGGAACTATATTTGTTTAATGGGCTCAAAATAAGATCCAGAGGGAGAAACAGCAATAGTAATAAAATGTCTGCATCACTGGAAAGATAAGTCAGTCTGCCTTTCTTTCGAGCTCTTTAATTTTTATGAGTTACTTTATACCATGACAAATGTTATTCTGCTGGCAAAGAATGTTTTTTAGTACCTAGATGGGCCTTTCAATTTTCCAAAGCTCTCCAGACCGATAGGATTCCTTTTCCTGTAACGCTTTGATCAGTTCTCAGTTTTGTTACCATTCTCCAGATCTCTTCCTATTCTGGATGAACAGGTGAGACCAGTTATGGGAGTACTATAAAGCTTTCAACACTTCACAGGCAGCCAAGGAGCTCGAAATAGATCTGACTCCAGCCCCAGAAGAGCTGAACTACGATTCAGCTATTTAGGATGAGTTAAATCCTACTCCAGGTTGCATGGGCTTAGCCATAATTTGTCACCTACTTGAGTTATGCTGAGGAATACCAAGCCACCAGGAGGATTGTCAAAGTGAAGAGGAGCACGTGAGAACTCCAGGATAGAAGTGTGGACACTTCTTGCTGTTTATTATCACTGAGGATAAGTCTTTTCACTTCAGGGTTGCAGCTGATACTGACCAAGGATTTATTACTGCTGCTCCCTCTTTAAAAGGTTGCAAGGAATCTTGTTTATGGCAGACTCCCCAGCTGAAGGGGAGAGAAGGTGTGAGGGGAGGTTATCCCTCTGTATGGAGCACATCTGGTGCTGTTCAGCCATTGATGCTGAAAAATAAGGATGTGGAAAGCAAGGAGGGGGAAGAACAGTCCTCTAGTTTATTCCAGTTGGGAAGATAAGCTCATTTGAAATTTGAAAAGTTTGAATAGGAGCTCCACTGGCCAGAGAACTGAGAATTCCCTCTGTGATTTATCTGGGGGCTTGTTATCTTTCCCTTCCCTTGAATTCACCCCTCCTTTTACTTTTTTTTCCTTTTTTTTTTTTTTTTTTTTTTTGCTTTTTTCTTTCCCCATCTTTTCTAATTTTTTTGTCACAGTTCCCAGTTCTCTCCTAAATTACCTGTGGAAGTCTCAGACTATTTAGAATGATTTGTTTCATAGTGTCTGGTCTGTATTTACGATACCACTCAGTTTTGGTTTTGATCTCATTTTTCATCCTGTGTGTGGTTAATGGTAGTGTGATAAACACCTGTGGGTTCTGAGTGAAATGGTGTGATTTGTTTACATAATGCACTGCATTTCCAATCGACCTGATTGTACTAATAGGCTTAATATGAAATTAATATTAACTTTTTTCAGTGGAAAGAAGCAAAACCGGAAGAACTCATGGATTCGAAACTTAGGTGTGTGTTTGAGCTACCAGCAGAGAATGATAAGCCTGTGAGTATTTTCAGATGCATATTGAGTGATTTAACTTAATTCCACAGTCAATCCCATCAAATGGCATGTTTGTACAGACAGCTATATAAGCACAAGACAGAACCCTCTGTTTCACTGCCTGAATGGCATCACCCTTTAAAAACACAATGTAAACTATTTAAAATCTTGGTAATCCTCGGTGTAACTAACAGCCAGTGTAAACTTCATCAGTGCAACAGTAGCACAAAGCAATTTTGGAGTTGATCTGTTTTCATTTAGTGAAAGGTCACAGGATAAAGAATACTTTAAAAAATTAAAGGTGCTGATTGCTGGTTGTGAAGCTTAGAGTTTATACTGAAGCAGTTATCAGCAATATAAATTTGCTTGTCTAACACTTCCTTAGTACAACTCCGATTTTGTCAGGTGAATTGATAGAAAACTGGTGAGGAAGACACAAATGCAGTTAGGAATTATATTGAAATGATCATTTATATTTCTTGTTAGGGTAATGGACATGTTAATTTGTAATGCAAATATGTATTGTCCAGTATAAAACTGATAATGGATTGATTAAACTGAAAAACGCTTCCTAATGTGCAGTACTAAAGGCACAGTGTTCTACCTTGCACTGAACAGTCTGTAATTAGGATTATGTAATTGGCTGGGGAGATGTTTCATTTTATGGGAGACCCTTTGTAAAGTGCAGAGCATAGAGAAGATCCAAAGGCAGGAGAGGGAGCAAGGTTGGGAGGGCTGAACTTTGTTTCCCAGCCTGGGTCGCAGATTCCTCCATCCCCACAAAAAACCAGAAATAGGGAGAGGGGACAGCCAGGAGTGGGGAGGGAAGGGAGAGGGACCTGCAGCACTGCCCTGGCTCCTGCAGTGGCTGCTTGTGTTGTGTGAGGGGAGGGAAGGGGGAAGAGACCATGGACTGTGGACCTGGTTTAGGGACATTTCTGTATATGCAGGCTCTGAAAAGTCAAGGTCATTCTCTCTTCACTTACTGCTGCTGATCTGATGTTTTCTGGGATAGCAGTAAAGTTACAGAAAGTAAAATGTTGTTTATTTCTTTTGATACAGGCATGTGTCAGGTGTGCACAGACAATTTTACCTGATTGTCCTCCTATGTATCAGGTGTGTGGTGTGGTGTTAATAACTAACCAAAAATCACTCTATCCTTTTTTAACAGCATGACATAGAAATAAATAAAATTGTATCCACAACTGCAACAAAGACAGATTCCTCTGTAATGTCTAAATCAATAAGTTCTTCTTTGGATGACACTGAAGTTAAGAAAGTAATGGAAGACTATAAGAGGCTTCAAGTAGAAGTTCAGAGGTTACGGGAGGAGAATAAACAGTTTAAGGTAAAGATTGCTGTTGTTTTTTTTTCAGATTTACCCCTTTCCTGAAAACGAAGCTTCCATCTTAAAGGTTTGGTTACCTGACCTTAGCACAATATTTTACTGCTGTCTATAAAGTAAAAGATAATTCAGGTTTCTCTGTAAACTCGGAGAAGGTGCTGAAATCAATGGTTCCTTTGAAAGGAGGCACAAGTCATGCAGTCACAGAAGGTGACTGGGTAGCAACCCAGAGGAGTGAATTCCCCTTCTTTTTTCTTTTCCCACCTAATTTCTCAGTCTGAATTAAGCATTCAGTGTTGGACTTGGCCCCTTCTCCCAAACCATGGGAGCTTGAGGGCAGTGTTGTGCAAATACTGAGTGTTCAGTAATTGCACCTGTAATGTGCTGCTGAAATGGCCAAATTAAGACAGATGAATGGGAAATGGGCTTCCTGTCATATCCAGCACATGGCTGGGAAATCCAGTAATTGAGAAGCCTTTATCACTGCTGAAAAATTCTTTTTACAGTAGCTTGACTTGCTGTAAGTGTCTACTTCCATAGATATCAGCACCAAGGAAAGTGTGGATGCTGTGACTCTTGCAGCCCAGTGAAAGGAGCTCTGTTCTCTCAGCTCTGATGCTGCTTGGCTGGCTGATGCATGAAGGAATTCTTGAAAACAGTTTTGTTTTGCACAGAAATAATATGTGTACATAACATACGTGGCCCTAACTTCTCCTTGTGTTCTTGTTTTGCCAGCAACTCAGTACTCTTAAGTTCTATATGATTTTATTGAATTTTTTTGCAAATTGGTCTTGACTAAACACTCTACAGGAGCTATCTAGAATTGAGCTGATATCTTACAGTAATGTGCCCGATAGGTGAGCTCTTTGTTCTCTTTGTGGAGTGTTAAAAACACCTGTAAAATAGCAGAAAGCCATGCTAAATCACTGCCTGCTACCACTGGAGTCAGTGTCAGAAGGAAATTAAAATATTTTAAATGCAGATTTGTTGTTTCTATGTAAAGTGTATTGTATGTAAACAGTTTTTTATTGTTTACAAAAGTCAGTTGTCCCTATTCACAATTAAAGCAGCAGTGAGGTATTGGGTAGCCTGTGGCTTTCAATTAGTGAATTAATTAATTACTAGAAAAATAAGTTCAGCTTCAGATCATATAGGTGTCCCTTTAAATTCAAAAGTGGGAAACACTGACCTACCCTGAGCCCTTTGAACTTCACTTACCTGACAATTTTGAAGACTGCAGTAACTTTCATTACTATATCTGTTTCTTGAGTATTTTTTTAAGTATAGACTGGAGACTTTTTGTTTTGGTGCCTTATACTTTTGCACTATAATACTGTATCACATTAAAAAGTCTAACACTGTTGCTTTAGCTGGACACAAATTAAGCCACAAAAGACTCATTTCCCCTCTCCTGAAGTGCTCTGAGTGTGTGTGTGTAAGACTGGAGTGTGCTAACACACAGCTGTGCTGCACAACAGCTCAGGGAGAGCTGAGGGGAGCATCAGTCCCACCTGAAATGAGAATAGCTGCTGGTGTTGCTTTGTTTTGTCTGTTGCCTCATCTTTAAATCAGGTGAGCTGCCAAAGTCCTATCAAGAAAATATCCTAATTATTGCCATTAGGTTCATGTCAAAAATGTCAGCATTAATATGAAGGGGAAACTGATTTCCCTTCAAGGGCTGGGAAGATGCTTGTGACATGTGACATGGAGAATGAGGAGTGTAATTGCCTTGGCTTGTGAAAAACATGCAACTTCATCTTAGTTATACTGAGGAACATTTACCCCAGCAGCACCTTCCTTGTTACAGAGCAAGAAAAGCACTTTGATGGCACTTCCTCCATCATTTTTCTGAAGTTCTGGAGCCATCCCTAGGCTTTGGACAGGGATTCCTGCAGGATTCCCCAGTGTTCCCCCACTCCCTTAGCAGGACAAAACTGTCCTTCCTTCTCAGGATTATTCAGGAAACAGCTCTAACTTAGCTGTAAATTTGCTTTCTATAGCACCCACCTAAATAAATAAGAGAAGGGTGAATATTTAAAGCTTTTTTTTTGTAGAAATAATCAACATCTCTTGCTTTAGGAAGAAGATGGACTGCGGATGAGGAAGGTACCCCAGACAAACAGCCCAATATCTCCTTCTGCAGCTGCTGTCAAGGACGAAGGGCTCAGCTCCAGACTACTTGCTTTGGTGGTTTTGTTCTTTGTCTTTGGTGTAATTATAGGAAAAATAGCCTTGTAGAGGCAGCATGCTGGAAATTGTAAATTGGTTTGATGGTTCTGCCATATCATTGGATTAAATTTATTCATAACAATGTTTAAAAAAAAAATTAATGTATGACATCTCACAGGTCTTGCCTTTAAATTACCCCTGCACAAATACTATGTAACATAATCTAGAAAGTTCAAAATGTATGGTGAGGGAATGAATGAAAGAGAATATGCTTCAATGATGAAAGGGGGAGAAAATCCTGATTTAACACTACAATGGAATATTGTATATGTCATTTTAAACATTCTTAGACCCTGGTACATGTTGCTGGATTACCTCTTTTTAAAAAAAAAAAAGAAAAAAAAAAGGAAAACTAGAAAAACCTCTTCCTCCACTGCTGGAGCTGGCCCTAGGGATGTTTGGAGCTGGGTTAGGCAGGAGGTGTTGATAACTTCTGTAAAATACATTAATCCACCATTCTGCTCATGAATTTAACAGTTTCTGTCAGTGTCTTCAACTCTGTGCAAGTTACCAATTTCTTGGCACTTAAATGAGGAGTGAGAAGCTGCAAAGACTTCTCTGTGGCAGCACTGAGGGAGCTGGGCAGCACCGAGGGGCTCGTTCAGAATAAAGGTCAATGCCTTGTTCTCACCAAGGGACCAAGCTACATTGCTGTTGGTTCATTTAGTTGAATTAAAATGTTACTCAGAGATGTTTAATGCATATTTGACTTATTTAATGTATTTCATCTCATGTTTCCATATTATCACCAAATTGACTTAATTCTTTGTGGTATGAAAAGGCACCTGTTCAAAGCCAGTGACAAGAACTAAAACTTTGCTGCTGTAGTGGTGCAAGATTCTTCTGCCTCCTGGTGTTTTGGGCATTACACAATTGTTGGAAGTTTTAATCAGATGAGTATTGGAGAAACAGTGGTCAGGAAACTGTTTTTGTATGTAAATAAGTCTATTTAGGGGAGAAACAAAAATATCAGTAGTAAACTAGTCCTATGCCGTAAAAAGACCAATCTTGTTTGACTATGTAGCATCTTAAAGAAAAAAAAAAAGAAAAAAAGAAAAGAAAAATTAAATAAAGCCCCCAAATTAATGTTTCCTTTGTTACTTTTGTCCTGTTCTCACAGTTTTAGAGATGGGGAGGAAACAATGTTCTCTTGTTAGCTTTGTCCATGGCATAAGGAAACTTGCAGTCTGATTTCAGGGTGAATTTCTTTTCTTCCAGACTAATTTTAATATCAGACCAAACCATCCCATCGTGAGCTTGACACATAAAAGTTGTTCAGAGTAACCATGCTGAGGAACAAGGTAACATCCCATTTTCCAGGTTAGTTGGGTTCAGGAGTTCAGACACTTGACAGCACTTCTAGAACAAGGCAATTTTGTTTCTAAGCTTCCTTTTACCCCAAGGTGTATAAACAAACTCAGTATGTTTTAACAATGATGAATTCAGTAGTCTTTGAGCAGGTAAATTCACATCTATTCTTAAATGCTAGATCCAAAAACATCCAGTGGCAAAATTTGTTGTAGCATGCTACAAAATGAAGCCGAGTCTTTTACAAATGACTTCTGTCATTCCTTCCCTGTTCTGGGATTCTGTGGGAGCTGTGGGGGCTGCAGCCTGTCTGCTGCACTCCTTGACCTTTGTGTTGTCCCACTTGTGTCTCAAGGGCTTCCTCCTCTGCAAGTGCAAATAAGGGAAATTTTATGTAAGGCTTAATCAGAAAAATGGGTGAGGAAAAAATCCGTGTAATTGGTGAGTTCAGCTTAGGAACGTGATTCTGGAGTTTCTAGGAGAGTCAATAGAAAGGAGAGGTGTATTTTTAGAATTTTAAAGTGCTGGTGCCTTGTCTGCTCAGAGGGGAAAGGACAGAGCCACTGCAGCCTGGCTGCAAAGGGCAGGGCAGGTGATGCCAGGGAGATGAGCTGGAAAGGACAAAGCAAGGGAGTTTATGGGACAAATTGGGCAGAATTGATTAAAAAGAAGATATTGCTGGGGCAGTAGAAGCTGAAGAAAACTTTCTAATGAAGCATTCTTGTCAGAGAGACAAGGTTGTGAGTGATACTAAAAAATTAATTTTCGTGGCTTTGAAGAATGTATATGAGAAAACCTTTGCTGAAGGGAGACTGAGATATGAAGTAGATATTTTTAAATGGCTGTAAATATCTTGTTCTCTTATCAGAATTTCTGATTCACTTTGAAAAAAACTAAGATTTTTTTTTGAGAGTCTTTTGTTCTGCTTAAAAACAGCCAAAAAGAGGGTGGTTTAAAAAAAACCCCACTTGTCTGCAGAATAAAGGGGGAGGTTTAAACTGGTCTCCTGTGAGGATATCTGGAGTAATGTTCCAGGAATGTTTTACACCCAGTGTAAGCTACCACAGCTGCTTTTGCTGGCCCAAAGCAAAGCCAACAACTGCTCTGTCCTCCCCCACTGCTCAGCAGGGACTTCTTGGTGACCTGTGCCAGCCTGGAACTGGAGATCATCCATGAGGAAAGTTGTTCCTGGTGTTTCCACTCCAGGATCACGAAGAGGTCCCAGAAAACCTCCTCATGCTTCTCCAGTCCCTTCAAACGCTGAGCAAGGAGACCAGGAGAGGATTTCAGTGTTGGTAACATCTGTAACCTGCAGCTGGGCTGACCCCCACCATCAGTCCTAAACAAGACTCTTAAATTAACTGCGTGTATTTTGGAATTTAACAAAATCCTGAGGTTTTCCCTCACCATTTTTGACAAGAGCCTGAACACAGTAGCCCTGAATTGTCTGGGTAATGCTTTGCTTTGCTGAGCTTGAAATAAAGTCACTGATCAAGGGAAATTTCACTCCCTGTTTGACCAAACCCTTCTTTCATAGGCAGTAGAGAGAAATCTTAAGGATTTTCTTTTCTTCCACAGTTCCAAAAAGGCCAGTTTGTAGATAGAGTGCAAATATAGATTGGATGGATATTCTTAAGCCACGTGGCTCTTTTTCTAAGTTGTTCCTTTAATGGCAACACAAGAGTAAATGTTCTCATGAAGTATTCACAGAAAGTGAATTATTCTGAAGGACATTGTATATCTTAGGAAGTTGTGCACAAAATGTAGAGTTTCTAAATAAGATAATTGTCTGGGGTCCTTACACAACATCAGATATTAGAAACCTGTGATTGATTCATGGTAGTAGAAATCAAGTTATTGCTAATCTAATTATTGTCCTTGCTGTTACTTTAAGATGACCACTTGCACATTTATTGTTGATTTTTGTAACACCCCGTAGAGGCTGCTTGGTGCACTCTGGGAGAATTTGGGATAAACAGATACCTGAAATATCTTGAAACCTAGTGCTGGAAAATGAATGGAAAATGGTTTCTTCTATTTTTATGTAGTTCTCCACATCTTAAAGCAAATACTCAGTGCATGAATGATCATAATTGTTGTTGTGCATTGGCAGTTGTCAGCTGGGAGTGCACAGCTGGAACAGCTGCATGTGCAAGCCAGGACCAGCTCAGGTTACTGGGGAGTAGCCTGGGGGCTGAAGAGCAAGATCATGTCATGTTATGTTGAGGGGGATTGATGTACCATAATGTCATTTTCTAAAAATACAGGATTGTAAAGCTCAATGGTGGTGTTACTTTTTCCTCCTGAAATGCTGTTAGTGGGATAAAGTTGGAACTTCACTTTGCAATTCACTAGAATTTCTTTTCATCAATAAACTATGAAGGGTTTGTATCTGCTGCACATGTGAACTTGCAATTCTTGTCAGCAATTTTACATCGTGGTGTGCACAAGGAATGGATCATTTATGTCTTGGCATACTTGATGTTTCATTGCCCAGTGGAAGAAAACTGTCATCCCTTTTCTTCAGAAAATGGCATTTGTGTCTCTTCAGTGAAATGTCCTTAATTTTCAGGCACAATAGTGGCTTCACTGTAGTGCTCTTAAGTTTGAAACTGTATTTCTCTTGCCCTCTGTGATGTCCTGAAATTCCACATCCTGAGTTCTGTTTTCTATATAAAGTAAGTGAGGAAAAAAGCACCACCAAAAATCCCTCTGTTTGAAATTAAAGCCCCTGTAAAAAAATACTCTGAAGCTCCTGTTTGTTGTGGCTGGGTCACAGCTGCACTGGTGCTGCATTGGTGCTGCACAGAGCCTGGAGAGCCACTGTGCCATGCTTTGGGAATGGGGAAGCATCCCTGGCCCAAGTGGCAGGTGGTGAGTGAAATTCAGTTTATGTGTTCGGGATTTTGAGAAGATCAGCTTCACAGAACAGAGTAATTGTGTTTCCACTGCTCAAATCTGCTGAACTATAAAAGCTGGTTGATGAATGGGTTGGGGTTTTTTACTGAATAAATGAAGATTATTTTTAAAATAACACAAGTGAGAGCCAGCTAGGAATCTTGCACGTGGTGCTCCAGTGAGCACGCACCTGCACGCTTGCCGAGTGACTGTGTGCCTGTCACTCTGCCATTTCCTGTGGCTTCAGTTCCTGCTCAAGAACTAATTTCACATTTGTACTTGAAGAGTAGAACTTCAGAACCTTTACTGAACTTCCACATAGATCTCTTTGCCTCCCAGTCCAGGCCTGAGTTTGTCCTGAAGCCTCTGCAGAGTGAAAAGTACAAAAGGGACGCGGGGTCTGTGAGCACAGAAATGAGGCTGCTTTTCCTTGGAGTAAACTTGAACTTTGGATCTTTCCTCCTGTGATCTGTCATTAGAAAATGGCCTTTTCCAGAGAGGAAAACAAAAGAAGTTAAGAAAACAAATGAATTAAGAGGAATTAATTGAAGCTGTGTATTACAAGTTGACATTATACATCTGGCATTTCTGTTTATGTTTCTGCATTGGTACATTTCATTCTGATTTAATAAGTTCCTAATTTTGTGGGATTTTTTTTCAAGATTCTGAAGTGCCTATGAAGAACAGCCCATAGTAAAGTATTGTTCCCAGTTTAGCTGTACTTCATTTTTTTAATCAAATCTTTTTCTTTAGTGGATAAACTCACAAGATTAGAAAAGCCTCTTGAACTCCCTCATGTTTAGTTTGGCAAATGTCCCACACACAATTACCCACAGAGAGCTACTTTTAAAAGACCATTATTGGGGCTGTACAAAGTCAAGCACTCTGGAGGTAGGAAATGGCAGAACCAGGTTTGTGCTCTGAGTTTGGGGAGTACATTGCAGTGTCTGATCATTTCAGTGATCAAAAATTGAGCTGACACTGCTCAGAAATTGTCCAAAACTGCCCAGCCTTGTGCGCCTGGACTTGGAGAACCCCAATTTCTCTTAAGTTACATACAAGTAGGTTTTTAAAAGTTGAACTTCCAGCGTGGCACTGCGGTGTTGGGTGTAACCCGTGTGTGTGCTGGGGGAATTCTTTGTGTTCCACGTGTGGATCCCCGTTCTTGACCTGAGCTCCTGGTGTGGTGGGGAGGAACTCGGAGCTGAAGCAGCAATTTCTGTTTCCACATTTCACTGGGAGGCCACACACGAGTGTGACTGGAGCCAGGAATCTCTGCCTCGGTGTGAGCCCAGAGGAGCCTTTCTGAGGGGGCTGGAGGCTCTGTTGCCCCATCTCCCTCCTGCTCTGCTCTGCCTGAGCTGTCAGATCTCACTCCATTCCCTCCCTCAGCGCTTTGGTCCAGGCCAAGTCATCCTTGTTCCTTCCCTGCTCCTTGGCAAGGAAAGCCTTGTTCAGCCGAGCAGCTTTAAATGGCTTTTCTTCCCTGCTGCCTGTTTTCCATCTGGGTCTCTTTCTTCCATCACCCTTCCAGGCTTGCTCTTCCCTCCTGCCTGTCCCAGCCCAGGGAGCCCGGGCTGCCTGGCAGGGCTCTGCCTTGGCATGGAGATCTGACTGCTCCTGGCTGCCTTTCCCCATCCCACGCAGCCACTCACCTCCTGCTTCCTCTTTGTTTTCTCATCCTCTTCACCCTTCATGGAGTTTGGAGCAGCAAGCCTTGTCACCCATCTCCTTTCTGTCTCCAGCTTCCTCCTGCTGTTCCAGTGCAGTGGATTTATTTCGTGTGGGATAGACTTTTATATTCCATGTGGATTGTTTCTCA